AAACATTTTTTTTTCGTGGTTTTCTAAACCCTTATTAAAGTGTTCACTTTACCAATGACCCAAAGTACTACCTTGGCCTAGGCCCTAACTAGACGTCTATTATTCCTTCCATTATAAAAGGTACTGTAGGCGTGACGATACAAAAGACGAACGGACGCCATGTCAAACTTTTTTTTCTAAGATCATGGCTCAGATAAGCATTGTACTAAAAATAATTAGACTCTTCAACTGAATGCCTACCCATGGATACATAGTCATAGCGCATCTCCCGTATGTAAACTCAGCAGACTCAAAAAAAAAATTGAGGATCATACTACAGTATACTAATTACAGTATATGATATAAATCGTACTTACTGCACACTAAAACGAGGATATAAAATCACTGGAACAATGAACATATGTATTTTTATCTCTATATAAACGAAGAGCAGCAGAACCAATTTTCTCATCAACATACGAAACTGTATTAGAATCTTCGTGTGCCTTAATTCGTTTATCGATTACTGTAATTTATTACTTCACGGTGGGTGCCATTACCGGGATCATTACTCTGGTCGTGCATGTGTCAAATTATGATAATTACAAGGGTTTCCATGACAATTAAGCATAATGCTAGTGCGCCCTCTATGACAAATATAAACGTTGGACATAATTTTCTTTGTTAAATTTTACCCTTTTATGTTTGTACGAACGCACCACTTGATATTGAGTACTGTACCACCAACTCAAAGGTGTATGTTCAAATAAATAAATAAATAAATAACATGGCGCAATTATACGGGTGTCGCCTATTTCGTACACATGCCAACTCGTACACATGCCTACTCGTACACACTTTGGTGAACTCGTACATTTAGGCGAACTCGTACACACGATTGATGATCTTGTAAACATGACTTTTGGCGATCTGGTACCCATATTCATTTTTGATAGGGTCGATTTTTTAGTTTTTCGATCAGATGAGATCAAACTATAGCTGCATCAATAAGGTCGTCAAGGAACAAACTGCAAGTGTTATAGGTTTGGACGGCAGATACTTACTATAAATGTTCTGACCATGTTTATAATATTACATAAAAATAAGTGAAAATATACTAAATGATGATGAATGATAATAAAGAAAATATATAGTATTTTCATATTTATATTTTCCATATAAAATTATCAAATTAACAGTACATACCGTACATTTGAATGTCTCTTTTAGGCTTTATTTTAAAATATTCCTAAGCTCAACAAAATCACTCACTGAGCTATGCCTATTTCATAGTTGCAACTAGAGTAAAATTTGCTGAAACGTTCTCACAAATAGATTCCCGCGGTAGGCCTACTTTTGTGAAGCATACACAATAGGCCTATTTGTATGTTCTTGTAATTGTTTTATTTCTATTTTCGATACATATTCTGATGTTTATAAAATACACAAATAAATGGAAATATAGGTTTTAATATAATATATAAATGAAGTGGATATATTTACGTCGCCGTAAACAAATCAGTAAACGATATATTTACGTAAATGAAACAACGCATGCGCAGTCATACTTTAATAATAATAATAATAATAATAATAATAATAATAATAACAATAATAATAATAATAATAATAATAATAGGCCTACTCACAAATGGCCGTTTTGGGCTTCTTTTTAAAAGCTGGAAAAATTCACAAGGCCCGTATTGCCTACAGTAGCCTGGCAACTAGGCCTCAGACAAATCGGAAAGATCCCACAACCAAACAGGTTCTCATGGTACCCTTGATGAAGCAAACACATTCTTTATACGCCGCCTTCAGGAATGTGGACGCATTACTGCAGAAGTCAGATGCTCAAAAATAGATATTTTTATGTGAAACACGTGGCGCGCGCGATGCCAGTTGTCACATGTGTTCACCTCTTCATATCACCATCAACTTCGGATCGTCTGCTATCTGCTGATCATGTTTATAAAATACACAAATAAATGGCAATATAGTATAATATAATATTAATAAAATTTATAAAATAATACATAAAATATAAAAAAGTGAGGGTGTACCTGTGTGTAGGTAACTTCAAAATTCAGATATAAAAGTATATTTAATTAGAAAACTTAATACCGCAGCAACATAGGCCTACGCATAGGCCTTTATTATGAATAACTCTATTAAATTACGAAATTATAAATATAGGCCTATGTTCGCTACACTTGACTTTTTACTTCTGGGAACTGCAAGAAAAAGAACATTTTCAATATCTAACACCAGCCTACTGTACAAAAAACATGACATTACGTTTAAATTAATTGTAATTAAAATTTCTGAAACAATAACAATCGTACAAAACTTAATTAATAATCATTACACTGCTACTGAAAGAATACAGTTTTATGGGAGGATTATGTATAGTCTAAAAGGGCAAAATCAATTAATACTAAGTGTCAAACTAGGTCTGAAACAGTATCTCTAAAGAAAAACGCACTACTAATTTTTATAGCGCCCTCAATGGAAGGCGATCAGTTTGGAACTATGACATCAATTTGGCCAATGAAATTTGCTTTTTTTCCAAATCAGTAGACAGTGGAGCGCGAATTATTTTTTCGTATACAGTTCAGAGTGCAACTCTGACAGCGATTTTGTCAATGAAATTGACTTTTTTTTAAGTCAGTAGACCGTAGAGCGCGAATTACTTTTTCGTATACAGAAAGAGCGCTGTTTTTTTAGGACGAAATTCAGTGGTTTTGTTCTTATCTAAATCATAGGATATCATTTTTATTCGGAAATGCGCGATTTATTTCAGCCGGCCAATATGCGTAAAAAGCGGAGATTTTCGGAGTGCGGAGTTTTGCTTAAATAAACGGAGTAACTCCGCCGAAATCGAAGAGGCATGTCTGTGTTACATTTAAGCATTAAAATTTCGAAAGAAGAGATTGTTTTGGTTTTTAGATCAAAAGTTAAATTTTTAAAAATTGGATATTTCCTTTTACCTCGATTAAAAAATCTGCAAGAAACATTGCAATATACGAGATGTCAAGTAAAGTTATACAGAAGTAATAGGGCCTATTACATTTTATGGTGTATAAACCAATGAAAGGACAAAAAAAAACAAAAAAAAAAACATTGCATTGCTCAAAAAAGAGACTACATTAAAATAATAATTGATCGGAAGTTTTGTTTTTTCTGTGGGCCTTGCCATTAGGGGGCCTATAGCATAGGTATAGTTAATTCAGGGTTTTGTTATGCATTTTTTATTCAATATTTTTGCTGGTAAATTTTGACCTAATCTGATGTTTTTATTAATGTAATTTACATTTGTTAAACTGTTTGATGTATTAACAAAATATGCAATACTATTTGATCAGGTCTTTCAAGCAAGCTCTTTTTTAATACTAAAAACAAAGTAAAGATATGTCATCAATATTCTTAACCACATTACAATCAATCTATACTACTAAAATTAACACATTTTTTTGCTGATTACTTCACATAACTCATGACATCATTGTACCATGCACCCGATCTAATATATATATATATATATTATTATTATTGTATACTTATATAGCGCATATGAAACTTCTCTATGCGCTGAACATTATTACCCCGGATCACTGGATCAAGCACATATGGAACACACACTCAGGCCCCATAGGGGAATTCCATAATGTTGCAGCTGTATTCAGCGCAGGCTGTGTTTGAACCTACCAGGTACCCACTTTTACTCCTGGG